ACAGAGAATTAAAAAAATAATAATAATGGGGATATCGGCAAGCAGAATTAATACAAGAGAGTCAAGAATCAATGTTTATGAAAATATACTTGAGCAACAAAACACAAATAAAAGAGTTTACAAGAAAACAACTCAAGAGAAACTGATGGACTATTCACATTATGGACAATACACACATCTACAGGAAATGTAAACTGCAAAACTCAAGAGACTTTTCCTGAACAGAAAGACATTCTTTAACACGAACATTAAAAAAAGGCACACACGGTTTCCCTCAGGAGTAATCTATAATAAACGCCTATTGGTACCTACTATTAAGTTTTCACATGTTTAAAATAAGAAAAAATGTTATTTATCAAGAAAGAAGAGAAAATATTTCTCCAAATGTAAATAACAGCAGTGGAATCAGACTTCACAATATCATTATTTCTATCATTAAATATTTGTATTCCTCCTCTTCTATCAAACGAATATTTATTTTCTAATAAAGCAAAAAGACTTAAAAACCAAAATTACCTTAGTTCCCTTTTTTACATATTTGGCATTGTCTTTTTCAATGTCATGCCAGGATCTTATAGGTGTCTTCAATTCATCTCCAACCACCATTCCAGGCCCCTGAGTGGCTGGACCACCAATGAACATCATAATACGAGCACCAGTGTTGGGAAAAGTACACTATTGGGAAAAAGAGTAACTCATCAAAAACGGTTTAAAGGAAAACATATGGATGCACATTTCTGATAATAAATTTTGATATACTTCTTTCTAGAAAGGACAAAAGAGTATATTTTCCAAGAAATAAAATAATCCAATGTTCAAAATGAATTTTAAAAACAAGGATATTAACTCTGAACATGTTTCTCTTGAAATCCTATTATTCCTAATTTTAAAATAAGCTACGAACCTGATCTCTATAAACAAGGGCGTCTCTCCTTCTACTTAATAAATCCTAGATTGGGAGAGGAAAAGACAGGAGAGGAAGATAGAGAGGGCATCGTTTTCTGTTTTTTGTTATTTTTTTGTTTTGGTTTTAGTTTTTTATGTTTAAAACATATCATGATTTATACTTCTAGTTCAAGTTGATGGACTGAGTACTCCAATCTATCTCCCTTTC